CCGCTCACAGTGTGTTTTTTAGTTATGGCTGGTGTTGACCACGCCTATCAGTACTCTGTGGAAGTGAAGAGCAGGTTCTCACTGTTCCTGGACGACACTCTGAATAGTGAAGACCCGGATATCCTGCTATCCAAGTTGCAGAGTAAACGAAGTGAAAAGACTAAAAAGGATAAGCCTCATGTGCAACAACAACATGTGGCACCTGCAAAGGTCGACACGACAACTAAGAGTGAGGTGAAGGTTGAGACTGCAGCTCCGAAAGGTAATCAAATGTGTAATATTAGCTATTTAAGTTGGTTCTCGAGTGTCGAAAACCACCAACGTCACAGAGCCGCCACCAGTGCCACCTGAAGACGTACAAATCGCATCCGCAAAGGGGACAGATGAGTCAATTAGTGCCTTTGTGCGTGGTCGTGGTTCAGGTAGAGGAACACCTCGAGGGATGCGTGTAGGCAGAGGACAAGGGCCTCGAATGGCTCCGACAGAAACACCTCAGGATTCAGTGAATGATTTGAATACTACCAGGTAAGCTTGTTGTAATCTCAGTGGTTACTTACAAGAGGGCCAAGTTTCGAGCCTAGAGGACGTGGGAGAGGCAGGGGAAGAGCAATGTTTGGTCGAGGTCGTGGGATGCCATTCAATTCAAACCGAGACTTCGACAATCAGGATGGTCCAGATCGTCAGTAAGTGATTTTTACCCAAATGATTTTGTAATGATGAACTGTTATCCCTGTCCTATGCAATGCGGAAACACACTCTGATGCATGTTTAGGCTTACATAACTCGGTTAACAAAAGCCTTTTATTCTGTAGGGGTCCAAGACAATATGGTCGAAGAGATGGAAATTGGAATGCTCAGGATGATGATGGTCAAACAATGCCTGAGAGTGGTGACTCAGAGCAAGTTGTGCGTTGCTCAGACGGTCGTAACGAGGTCGAGGACCAGTCAGAGCATGCCACGGCGGAGAATGAGGAGGGTGTGGTTGTCAACACAGAAACCCCAGTTGAGGAAGAACCGAAAAGCTACACATTGGAAGAATACAAGGCCATGCGCCAGTCTTCCAAACCAGCCGTCTTACTGAACAACAAAGGTCTACGCAAAGCTAATGATGGCAAAGATGTGTTTGCAAACATGGTGGCTCACAGAAAAATACAGGAGGTCCATGAGGATACCTACGAGGTGGAGGAGAAGGAAAACGAGCCTGAGGTATGTTTCATTTTTATGTATTTACACTAGATTCGATATAGGAGCATCAGTCGATCGACATTGATTTTTCTTTCGCTGACGACTTTGGAAGTCGTAGAAGAGGTGGACGAGGATTTGAAGGCAGAGGGTTCGATCGTGGGCGTGGTGTTACACGCGGTGCGGGGCCAAGAAGTGAACGTGGAGGTCGAGGAAGAGGTCAGATAAGGAGTGATGGGCGAGGTCGTGGTTTCGGCCGTGTTCTGCCTATTAACGATCACATTCCACCTCCAGCAATTTACAACGACCAGGAGTTCCCTTCCTTAAAGTGAATTCCTAAAGGAAAATAGAAACAGACTGTTGGATTAATAATATTCTTCCTTGTCAACTTTTACTTCCTCAAAGGCTTTTAGTCCAAGCCTCTACTTACCCATACTCATCCCTCCCTATTAAACTTCAGCTTTGTAATCTAGTTTCTCCTAAAAGCAGTTCGAGGACTGGATTTGGCTGTGCTGCTTGAGAGCTAATTGCAAAGCTTTGTACATGAGTGTTTTCAGAATGTTACAGTTTTGCGGTTGATGTGATCAATCGCCCTAAATAAACATTAATAAGATTACCTTCTTCAGCCTTTTCACAGTGTTTGTACTGACTCCTGTTTGGGTGTGTTGAACTGTTTGTGTTTTGGACGCACATAGGATAACGCTTTTAGCGGTTCTCACCTGCCTTGCGATAAATGCCAGACATCTATGTCGGTCTAGTGTACAAACATCATATTCACATCGCATGAGACAACTAGGAGTAGTTCGGTGTGGTACGGTTAGATTCGTTTCCAGCTAGTGTGTTCGTGTTGGACTACTTTCACTCCACGATAGCTGTTAGTAGCCGAGTGTGATTCTAAGGTATAGTTGTGTGGGTTTGTATAACATTGGATTTGTGTCTGGTTTGCTGGCAAATTGGTTGGGATGACTCGAACGGGTGAGCACTTGTGTTGGGCTCGTACTCTGGTAGACCAAGGATGTTGGACCTGGCAACTCATGCTTGACAGATACGAACCATACTAATGGTCGCCTGGCTCGGTCTTGTATGGGCTTTACACTATGGGGTGGCTGTATTGTGGCCAATCATCTATGTTATGTTCATCGAGTGGGTGTTATGCGCGTCAGGATTACAAAGTTGTTGGGATGTTCTCCACATTGCTTAGAATTTGCTCATGCTTGCGATGGCCATCAGCTGTACAGTGATTCACATTCAGTCGGCTACAACACAGAACCAGGCACATGCATGCATCGGCCAAGATGCGGTACCTCATTAGCACAACATCATGAACAGCAAATTCATATAAGCAATCGCTTCAGTGGTAGTAATAAATAAAATAGGGTTGTGTATGGAAATATGATACGGGGAGAAAGAATGAGTTCGTTGAAAGGAAGATATAAAGTAAGTTTGATCTCACATGATTCAAGGGAAGACGAAGTGTATACACCTACTTGGTTGTGGTCGATTCTGAGTCATGTCACCCAAAGTCTCCGACCATTGGTTACGATAGTTGCGCGGACCCCAACCGAGTAGTCTGCATTCACGAGATGACTCCAATTGTTCATCACCTGAATGAGATGATGAAAGGTGGGAAGTAAGTTCATGAATGCGTGTGCGGTGAGACTTTTCACGTTGTAGAAGTCTACCAAATTAGTTCATTACATTTCACAATGATTCGTTTTGTCTTGGCAAGGCTTGCGGTAGTCGTGACTATCAAGGTCTCTGAGTTTGTGCAGTCTCCTTCCGAGTAAATTTATGGAAGGTGCTGTCGGCACGCGTTGATACGGAATGCTTCACTCATTGATGGCTCGGTTTGAACGTCGGTAGTCGGCTGAAAGAATTCGGTCCTGAATTCATGGTCTCCCCTGCGTGCCGCAAATCTACAGTTGTGGAAGGCAAGAAAATGAGGGTATATTAGGTGTGAGGTTATCGTTAAGTGATGTGAAGACTGTGGTCAGGTCATCTCGTATTCTTCCGCATGATTCAGCTTTGTTAAGCGTCAGACCATTTCGTCAGTTAATTTGGGTCTTTCTATAGCCCCGCGGTACCTCGTTCTCCTAGTATCTCTCTCCATGTGATGGTATTATCGGTATGTAGGAAGACTGATGATGATGGAAAATACTGGGCGAGTCACTTACGTGTAAAACAAGTGTTCCTGGTTCTGAGAGTGTCCTGAGGAACACCGATACGCACTGTTTTTCAGCCAGTCAGCTTAGAATCAATGCATAGTACCTATTCACACCCAACGGGAAGGTTGTTCAACCATGACGGAAACCACCCACCACCCATATATCCCTCTCCACTCGTCCAATATTATCGTCGCAGCCAATTGCTTATGTGGCAATTTCACATTAGCACTATTAAAACTTGCCAATTCGGACGTTGCTCTAGGGAATTGTCTATCTTGAAGACAAACGCAACGAGTGTTCGTCATATCAAAAATAAGCCATTTCATGGTCGGAACTCAATATTTGTAGGTTCACCCTTTCATCCGCATCCGTTTAGAGACAACGTCAATTGCGGAATGGTGTTGATCATTTTGTGGTCAAACGGGTTCGGTCACGTGACCGAAGACCACAAAAATAGTCTGCAAGACAGCAGTGACTGAGAAAAGCTTGTTAGTGTTCGCCACCGCAATGAATCATTCATTTTGGTCGTTTCACACCGAATGTTCAGATGGTTCAAATGGTTGTGGACGGAATAGAAGAAGCTTTCGCTTAACGGGTTTCCGTGTCATGTAACAGTGGATCACCAATACTCCCAGGCAGGACCCCAGGTATATTAATGATAATAAAGGGAAAAACAGGTAAATCATAGTAAGATATTATCCCTAGTCCTTAAGAATAGGTCAAGTTGCCTCTTAAAGTACTCCTGAGAAGTCTCTTGGACGAGCTCAGCACTTGACAACTCTTAAGGAGTAGAAGTTGTGTCTACAGTCCGTTCTCCTGTGTTGTGTCCCTAGTTTCTGGGCGTTACCCCTTAGGTTTGTGTTGGAGCTAAACTTGAGTAGGTGTTTAAGGGGATGTCCAGAAGTGTCAATGACACTGTAGACCATTAGAAAGTCACCTCGAAGACGTCTATACTCTAATGAGTAAAGGTTTAGTGATTGAAGGCGCTTTTCATAAGGCTTGAATTCGAGTCCCCGAACTGATTTCGTGGCTCGCCATTGGATACGGTCCAGAGGGTCCTTATCCTTTCGGAGTAAGGGAGAAAATTCTATGTTTCCGTATCCTAAATGAGGACGAATAAAACTGTTGAAGATTATGTGGAACGTTCTACTGTCGAACTGACCAAAAATGTGCTTCAATATTACCAGTACAGGGTCTGCTGGAAAGGCATTTTTGTCACAATTAGCGTAAGACGTAAAATCTCAGGGAACCAGCCTCCTAAATCTTTTTCAGCTTGGGAGTGCTGGTACCATACAATGTCAAACTAAACACTTAAGGAAACGGTACCAAGATTTACAGACCCCACATACAGAATAATTATTGAGGGATTATGATCAGCATGCAATCGGCCATTGCATCAAGTGCCTACTAACTCTCGTGGGCCACCGCACATTGACTGTTGAATTCTGACAGTGCATCTCGCAATTTTCTCGTCTGAAATCACTTCTTAGCTAATGAGGACCGTAAAAACCATCAATAAATAGTACCAACCGGCCTCTTACCGTTCAATTGTCTTTGACTAGTGAGTGCTGTGTTTTGCTGGATGAGGACACACCATTTCCGTTCCTCTGCGATGATCATGTTGACTGTCCGCTCACAGTGTGTTTTTTAGTTATGGCTGGTGTTGACCACGCCTATCAGTACTCTGTGGAAGTGAAGAGCAGGTTCTCACTGTTCCTGGACGACACTCTAAATAGTGAAGACCCGGATATCCTGCTATCCAAGTTGCAGAGTAAACGAAGTGAAAAGACTAAAAAGGATAAGCCTCATGTGCAACAACAACATGTGGCACCTGCAAAGGTCGACACGACAACTAAGAGTGAGGTGAAGGTTGAGACTGCAGCTCCGAAAGGTAATCAAATGTGTAATATTAGCTATTTAAGTTGGTTCTCGAGTGTCGAAAACCACCAACGTCACAGAGCCGCCACCAGTGCCACCTGAAGACGTACAAATCGCATCCGCAAAGGGGACAGATGAGTCAATTAGTGCCTTTGTGCGTGGTCGTGGTTCAGGTAGAGGAACACCTCGAGGGATGCGTGTAGGCAGAGGACAAGGGCCTCGAATGGCTCCGACAGAAACACCTCAGGATTCAGTGAATGATTTGAATACTACCAGGTAAGCTTGTTGTAATCTCAGTGGTTACTTACAAGAGGGCCAAGTTTCGAGCCTAGAGGACGTGGGAGAGGCAGGGGAAGAGCAATGTTTGGTCGAGGTCGTGGGATGCCATTCAATTCAAACCGAGACTTCGACAATCAGGATGGTCCAGATCGTCAGTAAGTGATTTTTACCCAAATGATTTTGTAATGATGAACTGTTATCCCTGTCCTATGCAATGCGGAAACACACTCTGATGCATGTTTAGGCTTACATAACTCGGTTAACAAAAGCCTTTTATTCTGTAGGGGTCCAAGACAATATGGTCGAAGAGATGGAAATTGGAATGCTCAGGATGATGATGGTCAAACAATGCCTGAGAGTGGTGACTCAGAGCAAGTTGTGCGTTGCTCAGACGGTCGTAACGAGGTCGAGGACCAGTCAGAGCATGCCACGGCGGAGAATGAGGAGGGTGTGGTTGTCAACACAGAAACCCCAGTTGAGGAAGAACCGAAAAGCTACACATTGGAAGAATACAAGGCCATGCGCCAGTCTTCCAAACCAGCCGTCTTACTGAACAACAAAGGTCTACGCAAAGCTAATGATGGCAAAGATGTGTTTGCAAACATGGTGGCTCACAGAAAAATACAGGAGGTCCATGAGGATACCTACGAGGTGGAGGAGAAGGAAAACGAGCCTGAGGTATGTTTCATTTTTATGTATTTACACTAGATTCGATATAGGAGCATCAGTCGATCGACATTGATTTTTCTTTCGCTGACGACTTTGGAAGTCGTAGAAGAGGTGGACGAGGATTTGAAGGCAGAGGGTTCGATCGTGGGCGTGGTGTTACACGCGGTGCGGGGCCAAGAAGTGAACGTGGAGGTCGAGGAAGAGGTCAGATAAGGAGTGATGGGCGAGGTCGTGGTTTCGGCCGTGTTCTGCCTATTAACGATCACATTCCACCTCCAGCAATTTACAACGACCAGGAGTTCCCTTCCTTAAAGTGAATTCCTAAAGGAAAATAGAAACAGACTGTTGGATTAATAATATTCTTCCTTGTCAACTTTTACTTCCTCAAAGGCTTTTAGTCCAAGCCTCTACTTACCCATACTCATCCCTCCCTATTAAACTTCAGCTTTGTAATCTAGTTTCTCCTAAAAGCAGTTCGAGGACTGGATTTGGCTGTGCTGCTTGAGAGCTAATTGCAAAGCTTTGTACATGAGTGTTTTCAGAATGTTACAGTTTTGCGGTTGATGTGATCAATCGCCCTAAATAAACATTAATAAGATTACCTTCTTCAGCCTTTTCACAGTGTTTGTACTGACTCCTGTTTGGGTGTGTTGAACTGTTTGTGTTTTGGACGCACATAGGATAACGCTTTTAGCGGTTCTCACCTGCCTTGCGATAAATGCCAGACATCTATGTCGGTCTAGTGTACAAACATCATATTCACATCGCATGAGACAACTAGGAGTAGTTCGGTGTGGTACGGTTAGATTCGTTTCCAGCTAGTGTGTTCGTGTTGGACTACTTTCACTCCACGATAGCTGTTAGTAGCCGAGTGTGATTCTAAGGTATAGTTGTGTGGGTTTGTATAACATTGGATTTGTGTCTGGTTTGCTGGCAAATTGGTTGGGATGACTCGAACGGGTGAGCACTTGTGTTGGGCTCGTACTCTGGTAGACCAAGGATGTTGGACCTGGCAACTCATGCTTGACAGATACGAACCATACTAATGGTCGCCTGGCTCGGTCTTGTATGGGCTTTACACTATGGGGTGGCTGTATTGTGGCCAATCATCTATGTTATGTTCATCGAGTGGGTGTTATGCGCGTCAGGATTACAAAGTTGTTGGGATGTTCTCCACATTGCTTAGAATTTGCTCATGCTTGCGATGGCCATCAGCTGTACAGTGATTCACATTCAGTCGGCTACAACACAGAACCAGGCACATGCATGCATCGGCCAAGATGCGGTACCTCATTAGCACAACATCATGAACAGCAAATTCATATAAGCAATCGCTTCAGTGGTAGTAATAAATAAAATAGGGTTGTGTATGGAAATATGATACGGGGAGAAAGAATGAGTTCGTTGAAAGGAAGATATAAAGTAAGTTTGATCTCACATGATTCAAGGGAAGACGAAGTGTATACACCTACTTGGTTGTGGTCGATTCTGAGTCATGTCACCCAAAGTCTCCGACCATTGGTTACGATAGTTGCGCGGACCCCAACCGAGTAGTCTGCATTCACGAGATGACTCCAATTGTTCATCACCTGAATGAGATGATGAAAGGTGGGAAGTAAGTTCATGAATGCGTGTGCGGTGAGACTTTTCACGTTGTAGAAGTCTACCAAATTAGTTCATTACATTTCACAATGATTCGTTTTGTCTTGGCAAGGCTTGCGGTAGTCGTGACTATCAAGGTCTCTGATTTTGTGCTGTCTCTCTGTGAAGTAATGTTAGTCTTTTTGGCATGCTGCTCTGTGAGTATCGTTGTTGCATGTGGTTATGCTTTAGTCTTAGGAATCTATGCTTTGATCGACTTGAGGTACTCTAGGATCATCTTGCAAAGTAAATTCACCTTGTTTTTATTGAGTTGTTGATATACAATAGTTTCCTTAATTTATTCGGAACTTTAAATTGAACTTGCTAGTTTTTTTCGAAACAGTCATTTTGTTCACGTGCTAAATATTTTAATTCATATTGCTTTCATTAAGCTTCGTGTTTTGTGTATACATTGATGTTTGGTAAATATACGTCTTATTCTGTTTCAGTATAAATATTGTTGAATAAATACGTTCAACATCACCATCTAATCATTGGCATTATGGTTAAAATTTATCTAACACTTGTGTTTTGTACAAATTTCAGAAACTGATTAATTTGAAACTTCATAGGTAATTTTGTTGTTCTGAAGTTTTCTACTCGATAGTTATATTGGAGTTGTCGTAGACAAAATCATAATTTCAGTAGAGGTGTTTCTTATTTGTCCTCAATATTTTCCGTTAGCATTATAGTTTTACGGAAAGTTTTCTAATAAGCTCAACATTATAGGGTAAACCGTGTTAACTATTAGGATTGCTGTTATGTAGTTTCTATGCCGTCCTAGTCCTATGAACTACTTTTTTAGCCTACAGAAGAGTATCCAATGAAAGCATGTCTCTGAATAGGGATCTTACTTTTGCATATTATTGTGTGTCGTCTGAATAATTTATATGGTATACTTTGTGATGGTATGATTTGCGGCCGTATAAGTTATCCAATTACTCAAAATAAGATATAAAGGTTATTTTGATTCATTCAGCATTCTACTTACTGAAAGATATTTGCAGTATGTCAAACGTATGTGTTATTAATCTCGTAAATTGTTCAACTGCACTGTCATACACTTTCCTGTTATCTCTAGTATTTTTCCTACTGCTCGCATCTTTGGTTTTGAAACTTTAATCTTCCCAGGATTTCAGTAATTTGTTAGGAGAATATTGAAATTCCCCATATTTTTAAATAATCTGCATGCTACGTTACCATTTTTGCAGTAAGGACCGCTTTTTTACTCAACATTGAGAATATACTATGAAAAGAGTTTCAGACAATCTTTTGTAGCTGGTTTCTCATAATTATGTATCAAGCTTATTATACATTAAACTTGTATTTTTAGAATCGCAAATCTGCTTGGTATTTAAAAAAAGTACAATGGTGGTTAAATTTGTGTGGTGTCACTGATTCCACACTAACAGAGGTTTCTAACCTACATGACACGGTTGACTATCGACAAAGAACATGAACAGATAACACGGCATACTGTTGAAATATTAGATAGCATCATATTTTCACTGCCTAGGGAATTTTATTCTATTTCTTCACAATCATAGGGCCTACTAATGTTTGTTAAAATAAGTTAAATTAATGATTTGTGATCAGTCATTCGGTCTGGGCACCCGGGCAGTATGACAGCCCTCACACATCGAATGAGATTTGTGTGGCGCATATGTATTTGGTGCCTCTGTACCAATATCTATGTGTTGAAATAAAATAATCAAAGTCAGTCACACCATATTAGCACAGAGATGCAGTAGTCGATTCAAATCCCATAGCGGTAGAGGTAGTAAGAGCATAAGCAGTAGTCGAAAACATTTAAGACAGATTTCCAATAATAAAGCTGTATACAATGAACTTGTTTGTATATGTAACGAATGCATGCTTCGTTTAAATTTAGCTATTTCGCCAAATACGATTTTCTAGTCTTTGGGTTTAATTACTTTACTGTGAAATCAGACAATTTTATCTTCACGTTTAAAATTAAGACCCAATATTAGTAGTAAATACTTTACGACTACTATAGAATGCTCAGCAAGCTTTATTACATTTCCGTATTACTGATCAATATTTAATGGAAATAATGCAAACTTGTCTTTTAATAGTCTCTGTACTCAGTATTCAGTCACGAACTGACTTGTTCGAAGCCTATCTCGTCCACCTTGGCTTGAGAAATCGAATATAAATATCACAAAACCTAACATCAAATATGACTGATGATAACCTGATCGGTAAATTTCTATTTGTTTACTGAGATAAAATGTCTCTGGTATTAATTTTTATTGGTTTATGTGCAGTAATTAAGTTTTTAGTAGGCACCGTGTTCGGATTGACTACAAGTTAGTGGTTGTCGAAAACGTGACTTAAGTTCATGGCGGGTGGTCGATTTTTCGATCGGAGCCGTATCAATCACCACGATGACAGTCTGTAGTTGTCGTTGTTCAGTGTTAGAATATGAGATTTGTTACAGTAAAGAAAAAAAGAGTCTCCTTATCTTCCACGAAGTTTAAATTTTTATCAGGGGTATCATGCCTTCGATTAGTTGACATATCTATCTGTGATTCGAACACTGGATTATGTTTAGTTTACATATTCTGAAATGATCATTAAGAAAGAAGCTGGTCGGTCTTAGGTTATGTCTAACCTAATGCATAAACATCAATTCAAGCTGTTGCACTATATAAACACAAATGAAATTGGCAAGAAAAGTAGTAGCATGGTAAAATAAAAAAAAACAGTATCAGTGGTAGTAGTAGATGAAGTTAGACATGAAAAACAATTCAAAGAGGAAGAATAATGCATAGATATTGTAAAATATTTTCGAAACTCAAGAGCTGAGGAAGGATACATAGTGAGATTCTTTTCACAATTACGACATATTCTGAAGCATATCGCGTGACATCTGCGAACACTTATTTTAACCTGTTAAATCATAGGTCTGCTAGAGATCGCGAGAAACTTTGCTATGGGCTCCTTTCCAGCTGTCACCAAGTCCTTTTCCTGATCATGTTTGCTCCTAATTGCATTCGCTCTGTTTTTTTGGTTTGCCTCTTTTCATTTTGCTTTGAAGATTCCAATTTATGTCTTGCCTTGTGATAGTTTTACGATTTTAGTATATTGTGTCTTGCCCACATCTAAAGGTTTTTTCTCGTTTCCACCTATATTAGCAGCTAGTTTATTCTCTGACACGGCAGGTTATTGCTGATGGTTTCTGATCAACGGATCTGGGGTATCTTACGTGTACACCTGTTTATAAATATCGGTACATTTTTGATGATGGTTGTAGCAGTTCACCAAGTTTCAGCTCACTGCAATAAATCTTTTAAAGTAAGTATCTGAATTCTGAACTTGGTGTTAGACAATAGTTGTTTTTAGTTCCAAATTATCTTCAGTTGTAGTCGAGTTCTCGTTGCCTCGAGGATTTTCCCCCCGATATATGCATCAATTCCTCCTCGCTTTTCAATCTTAGGTATGTAAGGGTATCTACCAGAGCTTTGTCATCCATTGTGATTCTGTTTATAATGTATGTTGTATTTTAGGGTATTGCTTTTCCTCCCGTGAATGCTGAGATCTATTGCAGTGAAAGCCACTGTCTTAGTGTAGTTCCTCGCACGCATTCTGTATTGACAAGGATCTTCAAGTGTTCCATATTGTCAAGGAAGATTCCGAAAGGTTCTGCTGCTCATGTTATAGGCTGCTTTTTCTTAATTAATGGAATTGTATGGTGATGAGTTGCATTTTGGTTGTTTAATAATCACTCAGTGTTACTATTTGGTTGATACATGGAAAGGTCAACTTTTTCATCTCAAAGTTGAGCGCCTGGTGAAAGCTTCGATTTTCTCAATTACAATGAGATCCGTGCACGACCGATCCTTCTGAAATCCGGCCTGATGGTCTCAAAGTCTGGCGTCTGCTAAAGTGCTCTCCTCACCTGTTCCGCTATTCTTGAGTTTCAGTGTTTTGTTTTCCTTGTTTGTCTTTGACCGGTTTCTCTGGTTTACTATATTTCTCTACCAGCTTCTTCCTTGTGTCATATTCCCTTCTCTTACGGCTTTTCCCTCTGTCGTTTCTAGATCTTTTACGTATTTCTACTTGTGAGCTCCAGTGCCCCTCTTCACTCTCCTGTTGGCTTCTGTGTATTCGACGTGTGCCTTGACTCCTCTGCTTCGTCCGACTGTTGTTAATTGCTGTCATCTTGTTCTTCCTTGAATCGTGTCCTAGGTTTCGATAAAGATCCACTCCCTATGATGATGCTCCTTGCAGCTCAGAAACATGACACGTTGGAGTTAGTGCTTCTTGATCTCTTTCCGGCTGTTCTTCATAGTAGTTTCCTCTTCTTTGAGTAGATAGTGTAATGCTTGGAAACTGTTATCTTCAATTCGTGTCCGGCGAGGCTGTCTATTTCCTCCATTTTTGCTCAATTTCTTCATAGACCTTACTTAATTACGCATAGTCCACCCGCCAGCATTCTCCATCCAACCCTGTCCTGGGCAACCCTTTGCAGTTGTTATTCATTCTTTACATATCCGCTTCCAATTCTCGCTGTAGTGCATTCTTCGGCCTTCCTCTTTACCATTTACATACAGGATTGCAAGTTAGCACTTGCCTCGTGATACAGTTTTGTGATATCCGTAAGGTATGTCCTATTCACTTCCTACATCTTTTCCGAATTTCTCCTTCAGCTGGGTGCTGATTTCTTCTCTCCCACAATAGGCTGATGCTGATGGTATCCGGTCAACGGATAATGAGTATCATGCGTAGAGAACTGCTTATAAATATTTGTACCTTTGTGGTCATGGTTGTAGTGCCCCCAAATGCCCTGGTACGGCCGAGAGTTGGGAGAGTCCGCTCTCCCTCTCAAAATGCTCTCACATGGTCACGCGTATTTAGCCTCTGTCAGGGAAGTCCTACTCACTGCCTTCTCGTGGCGAGGGTGTTTACGGAAATGAGAGGACGAAAAGCGAATGTCCGGCGCTTTAACCGGATTCCAAATCAATGGTGCACATGGGCTCCATTATCCTGCGGGAACAAATGGCGTATGAACCAATTGTTGGTCACCGGCTTCCATGTGACTGCATCTCCTTACGATGCTCCACTACCTTGTGGATCAGACCCTCAGGTCGAAGGCTCCGGGTGTGGCCCCCTAAGAACACCACCTGCTTCAGTTTGGGCACCCGGTCAGTATCACAGCCCTCACACATATCGAATGAGATTCGTGTGGCGCATATGTATTTGATGCCTCTTTGTACAAATATCTATGTGTTGAAATAAAATAATAATGGTTGTAGTAGTCCTCTACGTTTATCTCTGTACAGTAGACCGAACTGACTCAACATTCGTATTGAATATTTTGACTCTGATATTGGTTGACAGTTGTTTTGAGTTCCACGTGCTCTTCAATTGTAGAAATGCGGCCCTTTTTTGCCAATCATCGCCTTTACGTCTGCATCCGATTCTCGTTGTTCATCTATAATGCTTCCCAGGTACATGAAAGACTACCACTTCCAGTGTGTGGCGCATATATATTGGCGCTCTCTTGTACCAATATTTATGTGTTCAAATAAATAAATAAAACCACTTCCAGTGCTTCTCCATCAAGTGTGATTGTGCTGATGTTCTTCGTGTTGTATTTGTAGATCTTGCTTTTTCTTCTATGTATGTAGAGGCCTACTGGTACCGAAATTACAGTTACATTATTTGTCTTCTGAATTTCTTGGTGTGTATGAGATAGAAGGGCCAGGTTATCTGCCAAGTCCAAATATTATAACTGATTCCGAGTTGTCCATTGTACTCCGTGTTTCCTCTTACATATTGAGATCTTCATAATCCAGTCAACCACCAGAAAAAAAGAGGAAAGGTGGGAGTAAGCAGTCAGTCAGTCAGCTACAACGTAGGACCAGGCACATATATGCATCGGTCCAGGTTGCCATACCGCATCAACACAACAAGATGAACACCAGATTCATAACAGTGGTTAGGTAAAAGGTGGTAATATATAAGAGAAAATTGCATATAGAGATATAGTAC